TAATAATAATATTATTATTATTATTATTATAAATAATAATCTTGTAGGCTGACTGGACTGTCTAAGCTGAGTTTAGGGGGGAATATCTGGGAGTGGGAGACCACCATCTGCTCCAGAGTTTTTCTGAAGCGAGCCCGGACCCTCTGGACCCCCCCCCCCAGATCGAATGTTAAACAGAGCTGCTTGCTGACCCCTGAGTGGAGCTTAATGTAGTGGGCGAAGAGGTGCAGAGGGTGTTAGTGCCTCCCCAGGGGGTAACAAGGGTCAGAGCACCATGGCACGTGGACCCCTAAAGAACCCCCCCGAGAGGCGTCCTGTCATCTGCCCGTTTGAGACGGAGCAGGTGTTGAAACTGAAGGATGAGTGGGACGTTATGAACCCAACTAAAGTGGCTTTTAAAGGTCATTAAAACACCAGCAGAATATTAAAATAAAGTTTCGTCTTTAATGTAAAATCAGCACCTTTTAATCCTCAGACCAGACGGTTTAAAAGTTTTATTTTAGAGTTTGCTCACTGGCAAATCAAAAGCTGACAGCTGTTTTTGGSAGATGTGATGCAACCCTGTGCTGCTGAAGCCTGCAGGGACTTTTACACATGACCAGTGTCCTGTCTGTGGAAACATCAATACACAATCAGAAAACACAACGTGACGCTCTGCTGGCGCTGACAACAGTTAACGTACACGTTGTGCATTTATTCAGTGAGCACAGACGTCACGCACGCAGTGGAAACATAGTTATTATATAAGACTTTAACTGCAAAGTGCCTTTAACTCTGCTCAGCTCTGAGCTTTGTTGAATTCATTAAACTGATACATCCTGCAGTGGATTTTTCAAACAAATGTGTTGAGCAGTGGTGGGCACCAGTCCGCTAAAGTGCAAATCCGCTAATTGCAGACCTACATATTTTGTTTGTGCTTTAGCGTCTTACTAATTTTTATAATTCATAAGCAGATTTGCGCTTTCTAAAATTAAAATGCAGTACCACTAATAACTATTTATCTACCAGTCATCATTATGTTGAACAGCAGAAGGTATGACTGTCAATGAATCACAACACATGTGATCTATCCAACAGCACCCCTCCCAGATAAACACACTTATTGTGAASGTATACATCCTGCTGACTGTTGGTTTGGGRCACGGTTCTGATTTCCCACAATGCTTTGTGTCTGCTTACGTAGCAGGAAGGCAATYGCAAAAACAGTTAACGTTTGTAATCCATASTAAAATTTTMTATGTATTGATTTATTTTACTTTACAATCTGACCTCCCTTTTTAAAAAAATAAAGTTTAAACGCTGGAGCTCAATACTTCATGTAATTGGTCGAAGCAATCGGCCAACGGGGTTAGAGACTCAGAAATGATTTAAAGATGTTATGCTGATGAAGACTGACATCTAGTGGTCAACTGGAGCAACTACATGGAAAACTTTAAAATCCAGGCTCTTATTTTGAAGTGAAGATAGTTTCCTGTACTCTGCGCTTTCGTTTCCRGTCACAAATCAAATCCYTCATGTACCCAGAATGCATRGCTTCAGTTTTCCAATAAACAGTTTTAAAATTACTTTATTGATGCTTCTTTAATGAAAAATCTACAACAAACAAAAGAAAAAGACAAAGAAGCAGCCGAACTAGCAATCCTCAACAACTTTTTAATTTTTACACCAGGAGCTAAAGGTCTGTTTCAGGAAATCACATCCCCAGCAATCAGTGTTTGTAGGATTAAGTTGTAAAAGAGTTCATACACCACTAGTTGGCAGTGTTGTGTATATATTGTACATGAATTATTGCCAGACAATAAGTGTCAAATAGAACTTGCACTTTAAAATTAGCTTCCACTAGTTTTTCTATGGCATAAGCGCTTTTGCGGTTGTGGACCTAAATATTTTCATAAGCGATTTAGAAATTGCGGAGCTAATTTTTGGATTAGCGCTGCCCACCACTGGTGTTGAGTTTGTTCCACGTTCATAAAGCCTGACATGAACCATCTCTGCACCAAGCATTCAAATATGAGAAACGATCATTTCCTCCCACAGACCTGCAGGAGTTACATTCTGCAAACTGCTTTTATTATAATTAATCTAATATCACAAAATATCTACTTGAGTTTAAAACTGTTTTGCAGATCCACAAAATTAGTGTTCTGTTGCAATAATTACTGAAAATATCCCTCAAACTTTAAATAGTTTGTGTGGCAGTAGTTTAATTAATGTAAAGATCTTACTTCAGATTATTGTGTTTTTGCAGAGAGTGGATGCTGAAAACCTCTAAACATCCTGCTTTTTTTAATTTGTATTTGTTTTACTCTGAATCACGGCTGGAGCCCACARGTGGCCTCCTGCAGCCTCGGCAGGAGACGGATCGTCATGGAAACCACGGCGCTCCCTCCCCACACAGAAAGGGGAGTGGAGTTCTGGGTTTGAAAGCCTTTGTTTGACTCCGTGGAGGCAGAATGTGTGTGAGACTGTGTGCCGGAGAGACCGACAGCCGCTGCGGGGAAGTTTTGTCATTTGAAATATTTAAAAAAGGAAACAGAATCTTGCAGAGGAGAGAGAGCGAGGAGCTGCGATGAGGTGAGACCTGCTGCATGTCACTGGTGAGAAGCTCTGTGCACGCTCTGTGCACGCTCTGTGCACGCTCTGTGCACGCTCTGTGCACGCTCTGTGCACGCTCAGTGCACGCTCTGTGCACGCTATGTGCACGCTCAGTGCACAGGATCTAAATGTCCAGCGTGTTGAGGTATGATGTGTTTGGATAGTTGGCTCATGCATTAAGCAGTTTCTTTAATTAGCATGCTAAATTAAATCTTATGGTTTAGCAGAAATATAAAAAAAATGTTTTGCAACTTAAATTCAGGCTGTAAATTTAACCCTAAAATCATTTTTATTGCTGAAGTTTTCAGTTTGTAATGAAATGTTGTGAAACTCTTAAAGCTTTTAT